AAAGGCTGGGGTGATGACATCTCAGCGGAGCTGAGATGACGTAGCCTCCCCTCCAGGCAGGCCCAGGTGAAGTCCTCATATCATCCGGGTCAGTCTCTCCTGAGTGCTGGCTAAAAAACACATCCCCCCCAGGAGCCAATTAGGTGGCTCAGTCAGTTAAGCATCTGCCTTGGGTTCAGGTCATGATCTCAGGGTCCTGGGATCCAGCCCCCGGGCAGCTCCCTGCTGCCCCTCCTCCTTCTCTTCTCCCCTTCCCCTTCTCCCTCCACCCTCTGCCTCTGCCCTCTCCCTGCTTGTGCCCTCCCTCAGCTTCTGCTCTCTCTCTCAAATACATAAACAAAATCTTAAAAAAAAATACAAACCAAAAACACATCCCTGGGTTCTCTCCACCTGGGACCACCCCCACCCCCATCTGCCTCCCTGGAGGCAGAGGCCAGAAGCCTGCGTTGTAACAAGTCTGGCAGGTGACTCACCATAGCCTACGCTGCTCCACTGGGGGGAACCTTCTAACCTCTACTAGTGTTCTGAAGAAAACGGGCTTTTCCTCAAGTGTTAGCATCCGTAATCAATAAAAAGAAACCATTTAGAATTTCACTTGATGGCTTCCCAGTGCTGCCTCTTGTCCAAAGGCTACTGTGTAGTTTGATATGTTCCATATATTCTGCATGTCTATTTTATGATGTTTAAAAGAAAAGTTGCCTCTCCATATAGCTTTATTGCTTCCTATTATTTCCCTTTGCAAACGTCTCAAGTTAGAGCCGCGTTGTCAGTGACGCTTTTGAACAGGGCGCTCTATCAGAGAGTGTATTCTGAATTTCAAACAACAATTTCATAAATAGACATTTGGAACACAACATGTTCCTAACTAGGGAACTGTCTGTATTTTAAAGTTTTTGTAGTTATTTGTCTCTAAGCAAAAGGTTTTTATAATTGGCCCTAGAAGGATGTGGGCTGGGGGACTCTGAGATTTTCCAAATTGACTTCTCACAGAACCCTGGCTGTAGCCTGGTAGCTTACTTGATCTGCACACTGTTTTTCTACGTTTCTGGGAGGTTTGCCAATTTGGGATATATACATTGAAGGTGTAGGAAGTGGATTTTTTTTTTTCTCGTTTGTGAATTTGTTCATTTAACAAATGCTTCCTGGGCACCTCCAATGTACCAGATGCTATGCTAGGGATCCAGACAGTAATCTCCTCCCCAAGAGGCTCAGAGTCTAGGAGGTGGAGCGAATATTACAGACCATGCAGGGAAAGGAGTTGGTGGTGAGAAGGGTGCTGTTGCCAAGTTCAACTCTAAAGGGGAGAGAGTCAAGCAGTCAGTGGAGGAAGGATGAGAGAGAGATCCAGAACACCCACCAGGAGTTCTTTGATTCATTTATATACTGGGAGGAGAGATATTCAGGACCATGACTTTGTTCCTTTGAGTAATGCCGACCTCTTCTGGGCTAAACACGCACACCCGGCCATGTTCCCTTGATATCTATGGCAATTAGCAAAAGCTCCTTTCCCTGTGCTGGGGTGCGGGAGCTGGGCCAGAAGCCGGCAGATAGACTGGAACTAGTTTGCAAGTGCGTGAACAGCAGGACATGCCAACTTAGAACCTTGCACTCTAACACTTTGTAGGGCCCAGGAGCTCTAGTTATTTTTTTCAAAGACCCTAAACGTGTTTTCCTGACATTTCTTCGTGTTGGTTCTAGCTCTGACCATTGGTTTTGTTGGTGGTGGTTTTTTTAATGACACATCTCTGCAGCTGCCTAATAGCAGCCCCCGTATTCTTCCTCCTCTCCTCCCCGGACCATTCACTCACTCATTTGGGTGTCCATCCAATAACATGGATTTACCAAGTGTTCTTAAGGAACCTGCTTGTCTCAGCACTCTGCTAGGTGCTGGGGCTGTGGAAATGAAGATGGGGCCCTGTGTTTAATGAGAGGATGGGTGTCTGGACAAATGATGACACAAGGGCTTCACAAGTGATCTGGGAGATGGAGAGGCACAGGGGATCCAGCCGGGGTGGGTTGGGGGAGGGGGGCTGCAGGAACACTTCTCAGAGGCAGGCAACAATTCCTTAGCTATATCTTGAGGGCAAGTCAGGACCTTCCATGTGGGACCTATTGACAACTGCAGGCAGTGGTGATCTCGGAGCCCTACCCAGTGGTGTGTGGGAGACAATGGTGTGCCTTTCTTCCCAATTCTGCATTGTGTGACCCCACATTGGTAGTTTGAAATCAGCCATGGTGGGAGAATTTACACAACTGCAATCTGCAAATGTTATAGATCAGGTACCCCTGCTCTCTTCCCGCCAGAGCTGGCTGTCAAGTATCTGCTAGCATGATGTTGGTCCTGTCACAGCACCCTCATACGGTGGTAGAAAAAGTGTCACTGGGAAAAGGAAGAGATATAACTTAGTCTCTGGTTCTAATATGTGAATAGTCTGCCTGTCTGCCTAGTCTTACCTCTCCCTGGTTCCCAGGTAAACACTTCCTGGTAAATCACTGCCCTTCCTTGGGTCCCTCAGCAGAAGCCCAACAGAGTCTTTAGGACTGATGGCGTGTACCACTGTGATGTGAGTCCATGAGCTGGTTTCTGACAGTGGGTCTAAGGGTAATGAAGGTAGGAAGGTAGAAATTATAGGCAGCATAGCACTTGTCAAACAATTCCCTGCCCTCCCCTCCTATATCACTGTTGTTGGAATGCAAGCTTGGGTCTTTCTCCTCACATCTTAAGGCAAAGCTGGAAACACAAGCTTTAGATTTCTTCACTGCCCCGTTTGGTGATTAAAATGTATATAAATTTGGGCTTCAACTCCATGATCATTTCAGGATTTTTGTTAAAGATTTATTTATTTATTTTAGAAAGAGCGTGTGTGCGTGAGCAGGGGGAGGGGTGAAGGGAAAGGGAGAACACAAGAAAAAAGCAGACTCTCTGCTGAGCATGGAGCCCAGAAGCAGGGCTTGATCTCATGTCCCTGAGATCATGATCTGAGCCAAAATCAACAGTTGGATGCTTAAACAACTGAGCCACAGGCGCCCCTTCATGGTTCTTCAATACAGAAACAGAGAGAAATAATACAAAAATATGCTTTGGGGCAGTCATTGGGAATAGCAAAGAGTTCCCAGCTGAGCTCCAGATGCTGAGTGGTCATTTAAGTGGAAAGCATCATTGGGCTACTTTGTTCTAGATGACTGTCTGCTTCTTGTATTTGAAAAGATGACACAAAACTGAGACATTTTCTTCTGCAGCCTGGGCATTGGTGTTACCTCATCTCTGCAGTATCAGAAAAAGGGAGGGACAGGAACTGGGCCAGTTAAATCCCCAAAACCAGAGTCAGCTTATTTTGTTGGATTCTGGATGCTTGTTTTTCTGTTCGCTCTGCTGACAATTACATTCAATAATAACTTAAGAGATTGATTCATATAATTTAGCCCTGACCTGTTTCATACTTAAATTCTGATCTTCTCCGAGATCTCAAAGATCTTGAAAGGAGAAGATGGGAAAGGAGAAGAAGGGAAAGGAGAGGTGCCATGGGTGGCAGTACTGTCTTCTAGGTTATGTCACTTCATCCTTAAAATGCCATCAAGGGAGGGATAAGGATGCTGAAATTAAGGGAATGAAGTGAGTTGACCAAGGTCACATGGCTGGAGTGGTGGTGACAATAACATAGTAAGAACTACTGAAATTAACCCAGTACCTCCCCAGCACTGTCTCTTTACTGGGCCAGTTCTCACCCTGACCCTGCAAAGAAGGTTTTATCCTAAATATCCTACAGATTAAGAAACTGGGCCCCAGAGAGCTTCCATGACTTGGCCAATGTCACACAGTCAGGTTTTTCCCCCTGAAATTTGAACCTAAGACTGCGGAGCTCCAGAACCCAAGCTCTTTCTGTTAGGTTAAGCCGTCCTCTGCAGGCAACTCTGGGCTCTACTTTCTTTGTCTCGCCCAGTGTAGATCATGTTGGGGCCTCCTTTATACATAGGTTGTTTGTCATCTTTTGCTCTGTCTCATTGTTCCTGCTTCCCTCTGATCCTTCTGCATTGCTCTGATAGTCTCCCCACGCTTGTGACTTTCCTGCCAAGGTAGCAGCAATCCCCTGGGTCACCTTTGACCAGTTTCTTAGGACCACTAACCTTTCGCTATATCCTCCAGTTGAAGCTGCTGCCCTCCCTTTCCCATACGTGCAACCAGTAGAGAAAAGGCGTATTTACAATGAAGGCAAACAAGAAATGGTAGGTTTCGGTGTTCTGCATAGCAAGGGAGATTTCTTGCTTAGAAAACTTGAAGGCATTTCCAGACCCAGCCATGGTTGCTGACAGCTTCCAGAAGACCTTCCCAGGGAAACGTTCAGATTGGTTTTAGCTAGTTTGGCTGTTCATCTTCCTGGAAATAGGGCCTGGAAAGATGACCTCTTCAGACGGGGTCTGTCTAATTACGCACCTCAACAGTTGGATTCTATGCCATCAAAAGGAATATTGGCAATGTTCCCTCCAATTCAACGTGCCCCACAATCAACTTGTCTCCTTGTGTGGCTTTTCAGTCCCTCAGCAAGCACAGTTCCGTCTGTTTCCTTGCCAATTTCCAAGTCTGCTGCAAGAGAGGCAGATTCTTCATTACCCCACTCCCTGCCTTCACTTAGACTCCTATCATGTGTCCTGGGGTAACTGTCCAGGTCATTCTGTCTCCCAGTCCAGTTCCAGTCCAAGCTGCCCTGTAGCCAGAGTGAGCGTCCCCAAATGCAGATTTGATTCTATCACTGTTCTGAAATTTTACCTTTTGACAATCTGCCCCATTTTTTCAATATAAAATCATAAACTCCTTTGCCCAACCTATAAGACCTTTTGTGATTTGGCCCTGCTTACTTGCTCCTACTTACTTCTCACTTCTGCCCACTCCTGCCTGTACTTCAGATACATACTGAACCACTGCATTTGGAGATTTAAGTAGTTATTAGTCCTCATGATACTCTACAATATTTATTTTTACACCCTCTTTTAGGTGAAAAATGTGAGCCTCGTAACACACAGCTGGTAAGTAGCACAACCTGACTTTAAAGATGAATCTTTCTATCTCTGAAGACCAGGGTCTTCCTAACAGACTCAGGTAACCTGGCATTCTTTGTGGAGTCTACCAGGTCTGCAGTGAGAGAGAAAGAGAGAGAGAGGGAAAGACTGGACCACTCCACTCAGAAAGCCCTGACATTTTCTTCCCATAGCCCTGTCCTATCTCTCTGCCTCACGTGATTTTACAGAGGTGAGGGGTAACTGAGCCCCACAATTAAAAATCACTGCAAAATTCACTGCGGCCAAGGAGGAAGCACACCATTCATCATGTGAACTGTGCTCAGATTCCATTGCTTGAGTTTAATCAGACTAATGAACCAGCTGGCTTCCTTTCTAAAGTGATTTCTGCTGTTTCCATTACCGGGTAATAGCACAGCAGGATTTGAAAGGGAGAAAGAAGAAAATTCAGCTGGGGGGAAAGGACATCCTCCAAGTTAGCCAGCTGAAGGGTTGGCTGTACTGGGGGAGGTGGGGCAGAGTAGCTGGTGTATGGAGGAAGAACAGGCTGCGACCTTGGTGGTATCTGGGCCCAGCCTATCACCTCCTAGCAGATGATCCCAAGGAAGGGAGGAGGTTTTTAAAGTATTGATGAAGACAGCTCCAGGTGACATAGAGGCCAATACCCCCTTCCCCCACCAAGGAAGTCCCCATCCACAGGCCTTGCTTCAGTGAGGGGCCTGGGACAGCCATATTGAATTAGCCCATTCTGGTCACTTGACATAAGGGTAGCCTACAAATCTGGAGGCTGGCAGGGGCTATAACTTGGGTTTGCCCTTGAAAAGATGAGCGGGGACAAATTCTCTATCTCTGAAAACCTGACCCTAGAGGCACAAAGAGAAGTTGCTAGTTAGGCTCTGGGGAAGAGAGAGAAAAACTCCTGTACATGTGGGGTCTGTGATGGCCATTATGGATTAGATGACACGTACGTCTAAGTGTGCCCCGGGGAATCCCAGTTTATCCCAGTTTAATTATGACTAGGGCCTCCTTTCACTCTCCTAAGTATTCTGGTTTGGAAGAAAAAATATTCAGTCACTCTAATTATGGATCATAATGGGATATGGAGTAGGGGAAGGGAGGAAGGAGAGAAGACTGGGATCAGGCCTTCATGAGCCTTGTGGGTCAGGCTGAAGAGTTTTGGATTTATGCTAAAGGCAAAGGGGATTTTAACACATGGGAAAGTACAAGATCAGATTTGGCTTTTTACAAGATCATTCTGATAACGCATGGACAGTGGATGAGTGATGTGCTCAAGAGGCAAGAACAATGGCTGGGAGGCTAATGGAACAGTGGGGGCAAGACACACAGAGGCCTGAATTAAACCAGGTGATGATAGAGGATAGAAGAGCAGATGTGTTCAAGGACTCTGCAGGAGGAAGCTCTGAGAAGACTTGGAGACTAATTAAATTGGGGGGAAAAAGAGAAAGCTGTTAAGGATGAACAGAAATGCCTTTCCTCAGAAAGGGACTGCTGGCATCAGGAAGATGGTGACTAGAGCTTTGGACATGTTGGTCTTGAAGGCCATCAAAATGGCAGCTGAGTGATTAGGACTTGATTAGGGAGAGAGACCTGGTCTGGAGACCCTGAAGGGGAAGGTAGCTTCATTCACGGAAATGGAGAGACCACACAGGAAAGAAGAGTAAGCTGAGGAGAGGGAAGAAGGAGAGATGGCGATGAGGATGGCACACAGAGCTGCCTATGCCTTGCGTCGTGTACCCTGCCTTGTATTATGTTTTATTTCATCTTCTCCTTCCCCACTGCTGACTGTAATCCCTTTCAGGCCTGGCACCTTTATAAATGTTGAATCATCTACCACAGCGCCTTTGTGTAGCAGATTGTTAGGATTGATCTGGTACTAAGTGATGGGAAAATGTTTAAAGGCCAACAGTCTGAGGATCAGGAGATCACTGAGGTCCTGAGGAAAGCATCTTCCCATGGTATCCTGGGGCTGATGGCAGACTACAATGGTGCATGGACTAGGGGGCGAAGGTAAAACAAGCCAGTGACTTCAGCCACGCTCTGGGTTGCCTTACTTTCTACTAGCCCATCCTCCTTCCTCACCTTGAAGGCAGTATTATTTTTAATTGCTTTTGAAAGAAGGAGTTGAGGTACTTGGGACTTGGAACATCACTTGAGACGGGACAAGCACCAATGGGGGAGTTAGAATGTCTGTTTTTCTTACCTAAATTCAGTCCCCTAGGAAAATGGACAGCACTACCATGTGACAGGAAGAGCTGCCCTGTGTTCAAATCACAGCTTTGCACTTGCAAAGGGCACCTCTGAAATAGCTCAGAACAGTGGGAAGAGTTCTGGAAGTTGAAATCAGGTCAACCTAGAGCCAATATCTGGCTCTGTTACTAATTTACCTGATAGCTTTGCAAACTTGTAAAGTTGCAACATCTTTGAATCTTGATTTCCTCAGCAGAAAAACGGGGATACTGATGAGTACCTTTCAGTTTGCATAACTAATCTGTGGGCCGTGGAAACTGGAGCTCACAGAGGTTCTATGTAACCATCCAAGTCACTTGGCTAGTAAGGGGTGGGGCTGGATTCCCACCCCGCGCTCATCCATTTTGTTGCTTTTGTACTTTCTGGGACATTTTGTGACCTGGCACATGGATGATTTATAGATGGATGCCCTCAACTCTTTTTGAATGAGGCAAGGCATCAATAACTAGATATCCAGATAACTAGATAAATGCCAAATCAAGAATATGCAAAGTTCCCTTGCTAATCCCCACCTTGGGACCTGAGGAAAGCCCCCTGTTTCTCATCTATAAATGATTGCAAAATTACATGTCTGACTATAGCTAGACGAGTCAGTGTCAGCAAAGGCACCCAGTAGAATGTTCTCATAGTAGGCACTCGTTAAATGGTAACCAAAGCTGATTGTTTTGAGTTTTGGGCTTAACTCTTCCAACAGGCTTCGCTGATAGTGACAGCGATTGTTGTAGCGGTGTGGGTAGTTGTAGTAAGAGCAGCATTCACTAACATTTTCAGAACACTAGGAAGTCTTCAAGTGCCAGAAATAACTCTCATTTAACTCTCATTTAAATAATCTCATTTAAATTCACAACAAGCCTCCTAAACAGATATCATTACTTATTTCCATTTTGACAGATTAAGATAGCAAGACAAAAAGAGAGAAGATAAGTCCCTTGTCCAAAGTCATCTAACTAGTAGTATGTAGAATAATAGGGGTCCAATGCAGGGCTTGGGGCTTAGTGAAGTATCCGCCTCCAGTGGATGCCAACACATGAACCCTAAGGTCTGTTGGAATGTGTTCCTATGCAGAGTATTGTGAGCCAAGATGGAAATAAGAAGGCACCTTCCAGGAAGCACCATGACTGTTGAAGAGGAAGACCCAATTGGCCTCCTGCTCTGATTCCAGAGCTGACCCTGGGCTTCCAAGGACAGGACTAGCAGCTGGGACAGAGGTGAGGTATTATCACTACCCCCAACCTGCACTTTCACGGCCCCCTTACCAGCCAGTCCCTGTCCAGAGACCCTACCAGCCTTGCTGAGGCCAATGGGATGGAGAAAGAGACCTGGGCTACAGGCTGGCAAGAGACTCTCACGGTCAGAAGGGAGAGACGTGGAGCAAGGACACCTGCTCAGAGGGGCTGACAGGGAGGCCACCAGCCTGCTCAGCTGTATGCTCTGTGCAGGAGCACTACGGCAGAAGGCACCGTCTGGGCGGCCATGTGGATGTGGGCCATGAATCAATCAAAGCTCATGGGTACCAGTTCTGGGCTTCTAGGGACTCTGATCCCACTTGCTCCCTGTCTTTGTCTGCTGTCCCAACAATGGGATTGGTGTGTGTGTGCGTGTGTGTTGCATTTCCATATTGAAGAGGCAGAAAAGATGGAAGTCCTAGGGTCCATCCTCATCCTGGAACTCAAGCCCAAGCCTGCGTCCTCTCACTCTCTCCCTGTAGCTGCTCTGTAGTCCACTCCCCCAGATTGTTGGCAAAGCCACTGAGCTTCTGATTCAGTGACATTTTCTGGGATCACTCTGTTCTTTCTTCAGAGCCATTTGATATAGAACTGGGAACAGGAAGCCCACTGTCTCAGAGGACTGGATCAACAATGGTGTTCCCCAAGCACCTGAAGTCTACAGGATCTCAGAGCAGTGGGGGAGAGGAAGGAAAGAACGAATGTCCCTTGGGTTCTAGGCATCAAGTATTGTCACAGATCGGCTTTTCTTTTCATCCCCTCAGTAACACTAAGAAGAGGGTAAAATTGTCCCACTTTTGAAGAGAGGAAATTGAAGCTAAGAGAAGTGACTCACCTAAGGTCACTCAGTGAGTAAGAGGCCTAAATGATCCTTCACACCAGTCTTCTAATTCTCTGTGATAACTCTTCCTTACGTCACACACCCTCTGATTTTTGCTATAAGCTAGGATTTCTGGGGATCATCACTGGTTTAGAAGGCAATGATAAATAGTCCGAGGTTGGAGGGGCGTACACACCCACAGTGGATCATTATGCCTTGTCTCATTCTATGTGCTCTGGATCTAGATTCTATTAGAAATTCTCATGGAAAGTCAGATGAATCACAGACCGAATTTGGCAGACTCCAGGCATATGGGCCCAGACAGGTGTGAACACAATCAGACAGAGACACACACATGCACCTACCAAAGACTCTTGGAATTGGAAGAGAATTTGTAGGTCATTTAATGCAAATCCCTGATTCATGGACTAAAGTTGCAGGAATTGAATCAAGCAGCTTTCTAGTCTATGCTTGGAGATTTATAGACTACAAGTTGCTACCAAAGGAAAAACTGTTGTAAGAAATAGTGACAAGAGATGTGTGGCCCCAACAACACACAAGCTTAGGCTGTAGGCACCCAGATGGTGTGGTGGTAGTGGTCATGATGGAGATGGTATGATGTTGGGAGCAGCAGGAGGGGTGATGGTGGCCATGGAAGTGGGAGCAATAAGGGACAGCGGTTGAAGCAATGTTGGCAGAGGCAATGATGGTGGCCACCGATGGTGGAAGTAGCAGAATGTGGTTGGAGTTGAAGGTGGTGGTGGTGGCAGTGATGGTGATTAGAAATGGAGGGGACGTGTCTTTAGAGGAAGAGGCAGGGATACAAGTAGAAGTGCTACTTGTAGTGGTTTTGGAGGGAATGGTGTTCTACCCTCTAAGATTTAGGGTAGGTTGAGCTCCCCAATGCCTGGGAGCCAGTACACACAGGGGGAGCCCCAGGCCCAGGATGGGCAGAAGGCCAGTTCCTTCCCAGGACCCTGAACAACTGCCCACTTGCCTCAGGGGAGCTCATTGCTGGGAGGATAATGAAAAGCCCATAGCTCCTGCCTGGCCTATCGAGCTCAGGGTGCTGTGTGGCTCTGATGGTTGCCCAGGCTTGGAGCTGCCCAGACACAGCCAGCATCCTCCATTCCCAGGTAGCCAGACAATAGGGCCTAGCAGAGTTCAAGGCTTCTGTAGGAATGGTTGGGGTGGAGCCATCCTCAGGTCCTCTGCTAAGCAGCTTACACACATGCTCACACTCACACTTACACAGTCTCTGCAGAAGCTCATGCTCTTCGTCTTTAAGAGCCAGTAGACACAGGATGGAGTGTGTGTTTACTGCGCCACGTGCCCACCTCCGCCTGATCCTGATCGGGCTGCTTACCCAGTGCTGGCAGCTCTGTAACCGACTTAGTCATCGAGACACCACCAGTGAGGAAAGTCACCCTGCTGTTTCCTTCTCTGAAGTGAGAGCACAGCAGATGAAGAGTCACAAAGGGTGGTCCCCGATGGCAGCCATCCGTGGCCGCCAAATGGCTTCCTGTTGAGTTTTAGCACCTGTGTCACCTGTCAGGAGGGACAGATGGGCTACGTGACAGAGGAAGCCCCCATGCGGTATGGTCTACATCCACTGGTGTGATTTATTGGCTTTCCTTGGAGAGTAAATATTTGCAAGGCTGATTCCGTGAAGCCTTGATCCACAAGGATTCCTGCCATTTTTGGTGTTCCCCAGCACCCCTTCCCCACAAAAGTATGTGCTCTTCCTGTTCCATGCACTCCTTCTCCCTTCGCCCCCACACTCCCGGCCATACCACCCCAATCGCAGACTCACTAAAGTGCCTCCTCTAACCTGATCCCTTCCTTCCTCACATGAGTGAGTAATAATTGCGAGGGCAAGGACGTGGGAGGACATGCAAATACCATTCCTTCTTGGTGCCTTGTTTGTGGGAGGTGCTCAGAAAATGAGCAGTCAGTGATGGGAAGGAGGGCTGGGGGCACAGATGTGGCAGCTCCCCAGTGTTTTCAAGGCCACGGTAACCGCAGCACAAGGAAGGATTCAGCTCAGAGCTTCAACAGCCTTTAGGAAGCAGAGGGCCCAACTCAGCGTTGCCAGCCCACCAACAGAGCTCCCTAGGACTTCCAAGGGCCACAGGCTGTGAGGACAGGGAGCAGGCAAACCCTCGCCTTGGACAGGTTGACACAAGACAATGGCACACACTGGTACCTGGCAGTTCTCCAGAAACCCAATTTGAAGGGTTTCTTCTGTTTCCTGGTTACATGGGTTCCATGAGGATGTGTAGTCAGTCAGTTGTTGCTGGCTACAGCCCCTTGAAACTCTGGACAGTGACTCAGAGATTAGCCAGAAACAACAATTCATCTGTGGGCATAGGCTAAAGCACTGTGTGTACCTGTAGCAGTGTCCCTGCCATCCCGCCTGGCTCCCAGCCCAGGTGCAAGGGTAGTTCCCCCACGTTCTAGCCAACTATAGGCATCCACCTGTTCCCAGCTCATGGCATTCCACTGGCATCTGTTGCTGGTCTTGGGGTTGGCATGTGGACTTAGTCAAGCCAAGGAACTAGCATCCGTGCTTGAGAAAACATCAGATTTCTTGAGAGGCACATAACGCACAGAGCCCTCATAGCCATTAGCAGCTATCTTAAAACCACAGAGAAAACCAGCTCTGGGTAGACGCTGACACTGAGCGCAGCAGGGTGGACCATCAGAAAGAACTTGTGTATCTGATGCCATCGCTGATACCTGGATTGCATCATGCCTACGGCTGCTCTCCCTTGCCCTCCCCCCGTCACGTCCAATAAGACATTTTCTAATTGTGGACAGCAGTTTGATTCAACATGCTCTGGTCCTTGCAACCAAAAGGACCCCAAGTGATGCTCATCACAGGGCTGGCTGGGGAAGAAGATTCTCCCTGTGGAGAGAGGCAGACAAAAACAATGCAGTCCAACTCCTGTTTCCAACGATTCGCCTTTCGTGGTAACCTCCTAGAGCACCTGTTTCATGTCATGACCCCAATATTCCTCTTAAAAATTCCTCTGTAGAACAGAGGTCAGGGCAAGTATTTAAACAATCCTTCACCGGGGTGCCTGGGTGGCACAGTGGGTTAAACAATCCTTCATGACATCTTTAGAGATGGTAGCAGGAAAATAAGCCTAGAAGGTAATCTGCAGCTAGACGATCTGGTTCTCAAGATAGGGTTTGGTCTTCCTCAGACCGTCCCTTTAGGTTTCAGTCCGCATTCTCATGCTGGGTACCATCGAGCATTCCAGAGTCCTGCCTTAGAAATCCATGCTTTCTGACATCTAGTCTGGGAGCGAAGAAAAGGCCCTAAGAGGAAGAGGAAGTGTGTCTCCCACCTTCTTAGTTTTCTGTATCAGGTCCTACCTCTTGCTTGAGTGATTGACTCAGAAAAGACCACATCTCTCAACTGTTAAGAAGAGGCACTGCTTGAAGCCACAGCAGCAATAATGAACAACGTTGCCAAAAAATGAATCCCAGGACACTGCAGTGATATAAGATATGAGAGCCAGAAGTCAGCCAGAAGGGAGGACACAGGAATTACGACTTTATAAGATATGCATTGCATCATGCCTCCTTGCCTGGTTTGGACTCCCAAATCTGCTGGGCCCGTGCCTCTTCGGCCCACACTGAGTACAACACAAAAGGGATATCACAGTCTGTACCCTCCATTCCCATGTTGGCAGTAGAAGACTGGGCGCACTGCCTGGGTTTGACCCTATTTCTCTTACTTGTTGATTGTGTGACCTTAAGCAAGTCATTTGTCCTTTGAGCCTCCGTTTCCTTTCGTGTGAGTCCACTACGTAAGTTGTCATGAGGATTCAAAGGATAAAGTATATAGTGTGCTTGGCACATTACTAGTTTCCCAAATGTGGTAGTTTTAGTTATGAGTAACCCTTCAGCTAGTTTTCCACTTCCTTCTGTGACTTGTCTCTTCTAGAGATCCCTATGTCTTTACGACTCTTTCTTCTGTTGGGCTTCTAGGTCACCCTCAGGTTTGACATGCAGCTTATTCTTTGCTGAGTTACTCCACCATGACAACGTCCTACAGACATTTCTGAATGGCCTCTGGTACAGCCAGGCCCAGAACCTGTCCTGTCTAAATGTATCCTCCTGGGCTACACTCCTATCCATCACATCTAAGCTGGACCAACCCCAAAGCTTTTGAAAGACTCTGGAGATAACCAGGGAAGACTGCCTCTAGGCAAATGAACCCGTGAAGCGGTCCCCTTGGAAATGAGGTGCATGGCTCTCCCTTGAGTCTTTGCCGTTTCAATGACATGATGGCATTGAATGGCAAACCATGCTAGCTTGGGATGGAAGCAGGGCTGGGCACTGACAGCATGGTAAACCATCTGATCTCTCTTACTAAGGCCCATCTGCCTGAGGTGGATCAGAGCCGACCAAATCTCCTGGGGCTACTAGAACCAGATGCCTCTCAACAGGTTTTGCCATTGATCTTAATAAATACAAGAAGACAGCAACTGGCAGGAGAAATCCAAAGCAGTCTTGGCCTGGAAGGCTTATGCTCAGACACTCTCACTATTTCAAATCAATTCAACCAATATTTCCAGGGCATCTCCCATGAGCCTCTCACTGCACTAGGCTCTGGGATTACACAGAGGAGTAAGAGGTATCTCTGTCTTCAAGATGCTTAGCACTGGAAAGAGAGGAGAAAGGGGGCCACATGCAGGCTGAGTAGGGTAATAAAGTATTACAGGTTCTAAGAGGGGGCTGTAACTAGGGTATAAAGGGCACACTAAAAAAGGAGGGGTCAGTCCTCCTTGGAGTAGAAGGTCAGAAAAGTCTTCACAGAGGAAGTGACCCAGATATCATTTCCACGAATATTTACTGACTATCAACTTGCACTGATTTCTGGGCTAGAGGATTTCACAGGCATTATCTCATTTATGCTTTACAAAACCCCTGTGAGGTAGATAGTATCATCCCTGTGATTTTTCAAAGATGAGGAAACTTGAGTCCAAAGGCCACATGCTAATAAATGATAT